GTCGAGCGAAAGGGGGCGTGGTTAAGCAAAAGAGGGCGTGGTCAAGGGTTACACCCCCCCAGGAACGACGAGAAGACGGCGGCCGATTACAAAATCCAAGGGGGCTCCGTCCTCCACCTCGTCCTGGCCCTGCGGGGGGGCGGGGCCCCGCGGTGAGGGGGCGGAGCTCCCGCCGGGACACGCCCCCTTCTTTCTCCCCTTCCTCCTCCCTCCGGGGGGCGGGGCCGAGGGGACACGCCCACTCTTCTCACCCCCCCACCCGCTGAGGGGGGGCCTGGATTTTTTTTCCCCTCCCCCACCCCTCCCCCCTATTTCCCCTTGCACGGATATTTAATAAAAAGTTGGTGACGTCATCTTTGCGGCCTGTGATGTCATTTGGGGGGGCGGGTAAGGGTAAAGGGGGGGTCTCCTTTTAAAATGGTGATGTTGCCCTTTTAAGAGCGAGGCATCGCCCTTTGAAGAGTGAGACATTGCCCTTTTAAGAAGCGTTGCCCTTTGAGGAGCGAGGCATCGCCCTTTTAAGAGCCATCGCCCTTTTAAGAGCCATCGCCCTTTGAAGAGCGAGGTGTTGCCCTTTTAAGAGGCTTTACCCTTTGAAGAGCGAGGCGTTGCCCTTTTAAGAGGCATCACCCTTTGAAGAGCGAGATTTTGCCCTTTGAAGGGGCATCGCCCTTTTAAGAGGCTTTACCCTTTGAAGAGCGAGGCGTTGCCCTTTTAAGAGGCATCGCCCTTTTAAGAGCCGTCGCTCCTTTATAACCATCACCCTTTTAAGACACACATTGCGGTCCCCACCCCCCCCTCCCCTTTTCGCCGTCGCCCTTTTAAGACCCGTCCACACGCCTCCGTCCGCCATTTTGCCTCCCAAGATGGCGGCGCCCGATCTGGAGCGGCTCCTGGCCGCGTTGCTGGAGCCCGACAGCGCCGTTCTCCGGCAGGTACCGGTAAAACACCCCTCGGGGGGGGTTTCGGGGACCCCGGGACCCCCCTTTTAACCCTTTAATCCCCTCCAGGCCACCACCCGCCTCCGCGAGGCCTTCGCCGACCCCCAAACCCCCGCGCGCCTGGGCCTGCTCCTCAGCGCCGCGCCGCAACCACAGGTTTTTTTAAAAAAATCCCTTTTTTAAACCCTCCCTCCGGTACCGGGGACCCCAAATCTTTCTATTTTTATGATTTTACAACTTTTTTAGATCAGGCAATTGGCCGCGGTGCTGCTGCGGCGGCGGCTCCTGGGGAAGTGGCGGGGGCTGGACTCGAACCTGCGGCTCCGGTGGGTGCCCGGGGGGCGGGGCTTGGGGAGGAGGAGAGGGCGTGGTTTGTGGACCAGAGGGCGTGGTTTGGTGAGAAGAAGGTGGGGTTTGGGGAGGAGGGGGCGTGGCTAAGTCAGGCCCCGCCCCCTCCAGGCTGCCGGCGCTGGTGGCCGAGGCGCTGGAGCGAGAGACGGAGTGAGTTTTTGGGGGGAAATCGGGGGAAAACGGGGGTTTTTGGGGTGGGGGGACAAACCGGTTCAACCCAGTTCGTCCCAGTAAACCCCAGTCCCCCCCCCAGTCCCTCCCAGTGCTCCCAGTAACCCCAGTAACCCCCCCAGTCCCTCC